CTTGGTTTGTCTGCTCAGGTTGAGGTTCTGCTGCTGGATTAGCCAGGAACTCCCTGCAAAAAGGGTATGGATCCTATTGGCATGGAAATGAATAGGTATGAAGTGAATGCATTTTCCCTGTGCTTGCTGCTGAGCATTGTGCAGCCTGGGACAAGAGGGACTACTGGAGAAGAACATCTCTGATGTTGGAGAGGACTCATAGACTGATTATTTGGATTTGGCCAGGCAAATCAGTTTGTTAGGCTGGTGACGGCATGGGATTTGTATAGCAGTTTGGGAGCACAGGAAGCAAAGAGAGAGACAGCCATTTTATTTTAGGCTTATGCTATACATTGAGATTCATTATACAATTTTTTCCCTAAATTAATACAAAAATAGTAAAAATAGGTAAAAAAAAAACCCCAAACGAAAACCCCTGACATCTTGCAAGTCTGTTATTTGACATGCAGATTAAGATTTATTGGAGTTTAAATAATCTAGAATTATTTATGCTGATGTTTTTTGTTTTCCCAAATTAAAGAAGATGATGACTTGCAGAACGCCAATGACATCAGACCATCTCTTGCCTGAGAAGTGGCTGCCCCAGGCAGCCACAGGTGATGCTGAGGTGCCCTCTCTCCAGGCAGGAAGCTGTGCCAGGACCATGACAGTGGTGGCATGTTGGGGCATGCTGCTCTGCTCCAACCTATGCACCATGGGCAGGAATACATGTTTGAATTCTCCCCCTGGGATGCCTTTGCCATGTCTCTCTCAAAAAAACCCCACAGTTTGGAGCTAGAGCTCCTTCCTGTTCTCTGATGAGACCGGGGAGGGGGTGAAGGGAGATAAGGTTTTCTGCCCCCTGCACCAGGCTGGGGTCCCTGGGGGTGCCCTGCTGCGATGGTGTGGTGCCTAGCCTACGGGTGGAAGATACTACCTACCTTTAGGGAGGGGAAGGGGTTCTCTCTCCCCCATGCCCCCTTCTCATCACACTTGTGTGTATCCCAGGAAGGCTTACTTATTTTGAAATATTTATAAGAAAATAAATGACAAGTAGTTTTAGTGATAAATGTAGGGATAAAGCCATGGAAGAAATACTTTGCCCCTACATAGCTAATTCTACAACTTGGTTTGTATGGATTGGGGTTTTAAAATCTGTAAATGCCGGGGTAAAAAAAACTGTGGGTAATCCTTTCTGGCCAAGGTCTTCCAAAAACTGGCTTCCCATGGGGCTCATGCCTTATCACGCAAGCTCTGGTTCAGCAAACCCCAGCAGCACTGTCATAATGTGAGGCACACAAGGAACTAGCTGTGTGTGCACAGGAGCTCCTGCTTGCTTGGGCTGCGCACGCCCTGAGAGCTGCCAGGCTGGACTGTGGGACAGGGACATGGGAAATGATCCTGCTGGAGTGGCTGGTCTGGCATCTTCCATGCCCACGCAGCAGAGCTGCTCCTGCCCCTCTGCGCTCCCAGCCACATGAGAGTAGCTACAGTAATTGGGGGTCCACAGCGAGCCCCAGGCTAACTTGTGTTAACTCTGCTTCACTTCCCTGCATCTCCTTGAACACGCTATCTGCTTCCAAAGTTAACAATTAGGCAAAACACCAGTTTGCTAAGTTTTGAAGCAACGTGTTCTTCTCCCACAAAGCCTACTTGCTAAATAGCTGTTTCTGTCTTTCTCACTGTTTTCAAGAGAAGCCATGGTCTTCCTTCTGACTCTCAAGAACTCTGCCCAGTTGTGCTGCCACTCTGTTTTGTTTTTCTCTTGGAATAAAAATAAACAAGGTGTTGGCTGAGGTGGGATTTGGAAGCTCACAGGAGGACAGTCAGCCTACAGAAGAGCATTTGAAAGGACACCTTTCAATTTATAGTACACATTTTACCTGAATTCAGGGCTGGCTCAGAAAGCTTCTGAGAGCAGATGTGAATCCTCACGTGGTTCAATGTAACCTCAGGCCACTTTGGTACTGTTTTCCCTCCAGGTTCATGCAGTTGACCATGATAAATGTGTTTGCTTGTCTTTGGAAAAGAAGTTCTTTTTCTTTGCCAGATAGCTTTTTCTCAACCTTCACAGCTCTAATTTTAATCTAACTAGAACATTTTCACATAAAGCTTTGGGCAGAAAATTCTGGCTTCATCAATTAATTTTTATAGCATAGTTATTCCAGTTATACCAACTTTTCGCTCTTCATTTTTTCTTCCAATTAGAATACTTGTAAATTGAAAATGAACTTGTGCTAAGACAACATTAGGAATTATGTTAAAAGAAAACTGGACTGATCTAGATAGTCATATGCACTTAGGCTGGTTCTTTTCCCCCATGCTAACCCTGTAGTAAAAATATACTGTACACTATACCTTACTGTATGGAAATTGTAGTGTTTGTAGAAGATACATGTGCCCAGTGAGCCACAGTCCTATATAGTCTTGTTAGCCTTAGCTTAAATTTTTGCTGTTAGATTTTAATCAGTGCCTGATAGTGTATAATACTCTGTTCTACTCTCTGAATTTATACAAAAATTGGGTCATCTGTATTGCAAATAAACCCACAGTGATACCTGGGCTAAAAAGCCACTTAAGAGTATGACAAAAAACTGTTTAAGCCTAGGTAGTCTTCCAAAATGGAGGTTCACCAGTAAGGGTAAAATCTGATGCACAGTTAGCCACTGGGGGAGCTTTGGACTGAGACAGAGCACAGCATCTGCATCTATTAATCAATTGGCGCAGTGAGGACCAGTTGACTTTGGTGAAGATAATAGTTCCAGAGGAAGAAGTCAAAGAGAAGGAAGGCCAAAGTGGATTAGCATAGTCTGAAACCTTGAGAACATGCCATTTCTGGTTTGTATTGAGGTATTCAAGCCTCTCCTGTAGAGAAGGAGTATTTGGTGCATCGCTCAGACACATCAGGATTCAGGCAGAAATCTCACAGACCTGAGCTGAGTACGCCTTGGACATTTTCATGGCTTTACCTCACTAAGCCTGAAGGTGGAGAGTAGGCTGGCAGCTTGAGGTGAACCACAGTGAAAAACGTATGGTGGTTGTTTTTGTCTCTGCTTTGGGGAAGCTTAAGAGACTGACTCCTGCCTGTCCTGTCCTTCCGTGTGCACAGAGGGGTACAGCTCCTCTTCCCCCTCCCAGTACAAGGCAAGCAGCAGGAGTTACTAGTTACTGATGGGGTAACATGGCACTGGGGGGAGGAATCTGCCTTTAAAAAGATTTTTAGGAATGGGGTGGACAAACATTCTTCAGAAAAGATTTATATGTCATGTGCTCTGCCTTGGGGCAAGGGAATGGGCTGCATTACTGCTCATCCTGTCTTCTGTGGACTCCCAGGCATGCCCTGTGGCACTTTGCCATATGAACACCTCCACATCTTTTTTGTGACAGGTTTGGAGATAGAGAAGTAACTTTATCACTAGTTTTATCACCTTTCTCGAAGATCTCTGAAGGCCTCACATGCTGAGATTTAATGAGATCTGTGAAACTACAAGCTTGTCTTTGGACATCTCTTTAAAGATGCTCCTATCTATGCATTTCAATTAGATGTGAACAGGTTTATGGTAGCCATCTTGCGTCTGGTGTTTGCAAGTGAAAGCATCAGGGATAGCAGAGGTGTAAAATCAGTGTTAGCCATGTATGCCTCTCTGCAGTGTACAAACAACCTCTTTCACACATCTCCCATTTCCAGGTGTCCCACAAACCAGTAGATTGCTACTGCCAAAAGCTGTTTGTGGTTCCTCTGTAACTCCCAACTAATTTGCTAATGCCCTCAGAAGTTTAAAAGCCACTGCAGCTGCCTGTTTTCAGCCAGGAGGTAAGGTGGCTGTTATTCAAATAACATAACCATCACATAAAATCTATGGTGAAGTATTATTTAAGGAATGATTTTTGGCTGAAAAACATAGCCTCAGGCCTGAGTCTAAAGAAGATAGGGGAAACAGATCTTTCCCGTAGCCTCACATTCATTTGGCTGTCTTCAAGGTGTCCGTCTGATTTCTGCCAAGGCTGAAGTTGTTACAGCTTCCCAGCAGCAAATGTTGTTTGTTCAAGCAAAGAGCCTGTGTGTTCCTGGACACAGCTTCCTTTCCTTCTGGTCAGAGAAGGGACCGATTCAGGGGAAAATAAACGTTGCCAGCTGCACCGCTGACTTGTTTTGCTAATCAGCATGTAACATTTTGCTTCAGGACAAAATATCTGGTTATCTTATTTTCTGCTAAGAAGGAAGCTTCAGAAGTATCTCTTTGCTTGAAAATGAATATTCACTAGGTGGCATTTGCGGGTTTTGCACAGGGCGTTTTGGGGGATCACCAGGATTGGATGCTAAAGAGAAGTTTCACGCAATAAAGCACACCCTGGGTTTGTGACCCTGTGGTATGTACTAATCACTGCATGGGGAACAGGCAGCCTCCTGAGCCACAGCGCTCCCAGCGGTCCAAGCCCCACGGCTCCTGCAATACCCCTTCATGCCCCAGATGCTGTCATTGAGGCAAACATTTTGCCAACTGCTGAAAACTTTTCAAGTGCTCTTACTTCCAGCGTGAGCTGTAAAAATGAGTCAGGTTGCAATACATTCATCTTGAACCAAAAAGTAACGGTCCGTACATCATATATTGATGAGACCACTGACGCACCAGCTAGCTTTCTGCAACTGGATTTTCACAAGCAATGTATAGTTGGAATATTCTCTGCAAAACCTACAGAATTGGCATATGTAACCCCACTGGGGTTCAACCTCGTGATAAAACCTTACAGTAATGAGCCTGTTGCTCTTAAGGGCGGAGGGGGTGGAGGAGGAACAAGATACTGCTTTATCTGTATTACTCCACATCACAGATGCTGACAGAATTATTGATTTAGAACTCACATCTCCAAAAAGACTCAGTAATGCAATATTTTTAAGTTTTGGTTTGCTTGTTTTGTTTTGTTTTTTTCCTTCTCTCAGATGTGATGTTTTCAAGAAGCCCCTTAGATATGTTAAACTTGTGGTTGCTAAACCACAGTCCCAACCTTGGGTGTTTTCCATACAACTCTGATGGTCGACTATCTCTTGGAAGAGCCCGTAGCTGCAAGGCCTGTTGCTTTACAGGTATTCTAGGAAGATTGAGGGATTAAGTTATACATTATGTAAAACTACCCACTAATCCTCTTAGTGCGCATTACCAGTGAATGGCCTGAAATAGGCTCTCACTAGAAGAGCCCTAACATTCACTTTCTTGATGACATTTTAGTATTTGAGGTTTGTGTCATGGGTTTCGGTGCTGAAATATTCAGTACACCATCTTCTGTCTGCTGCTAGATCCACTCACGTGTGTTAGTAGAGTGCTAACAAAATTACGGTTGGTAAAGCAGATTACATGTTTGACTAGTAGCGAGACATGTATAAAATAAAATTATATATTTTCTAGAGTGATAGAGTCACTGGGATTTTTTCCTTTTTTTTTTTTTTGTTCTTTTTTGGTTTTATAAGAAAAAGAAGCAGCTATAAACCCATGATTAAAAATGGCACAAGGGATGATTTACATTTTAAAATAACAATATTTTTAGGAAAAAAAAAGTGATCTATAACATGAAAGTGTTTGGAAAGCATTTGGTTGCTGTGTACTGCCTTCCTTCCCAGTACAGTTTGCTATCTTTTACACAGTCTTGCATAAATGTTTAAATTAGGGGAGAAAAGAAAAATTAAATGTGATGGCTAAGACCTATAAGAGCTGACTCACTGACTTGAGTTATTGCTGTGCAGAAAGTTTGTAAAGCCTTTACATCCAGCGAACATTTAGTGCTACTTCAGCCTTGACAGTTGACCTTTCAGTCTGATTGGGTTTAGCCACAATAATTGCAGCAGCTGCAGTACAGACCATGCAGACGGCTGCTTAAGAACCCAACTTCTCTCATTAGATCTTACTCCATGTGTCTGAAATTCAACCCCCCTTTGCATGTGTGTGCAAATTCTCTCGTAATACCTGTTATAGGAGCTGAGCAAGGTACAATACCCCTCAGCTCTTTAAAAAAAATTTTTTTTCATTTCTCCCATCATTTTGAATCTTCCTGCATTTAGGTTAGAGGGGGGCGGGGAGGGAAAACATCCAAACCCCTTCCTCTCCTCAGATATTTAGTCAGTACTGGTTTCTTTTTTTCCTTTTTTTTTTTTTTCTCAGTAAGACCGAGTGTAAAAAAAGCAACAAACAAACAAATTAGACTGTTGTAATTTGGTCAACCACTCGGGTGCTATCCATATCCACCATTTCAACACACTCTATTTCCTCACGGTTTTCAGGATTCTTCTTCTCTTTCCTCTTCTTCTTGGATGGTGGCAGGAAAGTCAGTATCACAGGTAAAATGGCAAAGCAGTGAAAGAAGGTGACTAATGCTATTAAAAACAAGCACCTGAACAGTGTACGGGTCAGATTTGAAGGCACAGCTGCAAGAGGAATCAGACCAACAATATAGCAGAGGTAGCTCTGCAAAATAGCTACCCCATGCACTTCCAGGGCATTTTTCACCCATTTAGTTCTTGTGAACTCTTTGCCCAGGACAAAGGTCGATAACAGTGGAGCACAGTTGTCAATTGTATAATTAATTCCGTAAATTAAGCACAACACAGAAATACAATCTAGTTCCACTTTCCACAAGGTCATAAAACCTATAACTCCAAATTCAACCGAGGCAACAGTTAGAGTGAGCCAGACATTGATCAGAGAGTCTGCCACCAGGAATGCAGAGAAGAAGAGCAGAAATAAAGCACTAATGCAGGAGTTTTGTAAAGGTGCTCCTACTGAAGAAGCATAACGATCCATGTACACAAATGATGGATTGAAAACAATGAATTTCACCTTGGAGGTGAGAGAGAGCTTCCTCAGGGTCTCCAAGAGGTCATAAAGTTCTTCCCTCTTGGTTTCCATTGTCTTGGCCACCAAGAACATCCTGGAGGCCACGACATCAACTTCGTTGTTGTATTTCTTGGAAAAGATGATATCCTCTGAAAAATGGGCAAACTGAGGGGTCTTCAGGAAGGAGTTCCTCAACATATCAGTGAAATTCTTCTTGGGCAATCCAGTAGATATGTTGAGTTTCCTAAGGTAATTTAAGTAGCTTTCAAACCAAGATATCCTCACAAAGCCCTTGGTATACTCCAGCACATCCTCCTGGACACTGGTATTCCAGTACTCGATCGACTCATAGATGTAGAACCCAATCACTGGGCTGTAGTTACTGAAATACTTCTGCTGGGCAGTCGTATACTCAATGGTCCGTGTTGCGGTCGCCACGATGTTGCTCAGGTCTGACCCTTCACTGACCTGCAAGTAGCCCATTAAGGCAAAGGAAATATAAACAAGGTAAAAGAGAACTACAAAAGGCTTGACATAAGTGTTTGTTATCCAGTCACAATAATAGCGTTTCAGGAACCACACCAAAAGATGACTCTCGTAAGTGTTCGTTTCCTCTGAATCATCTGTGTCCTCACTGAATTTGGCTGTCAGAAGAAACCTATACCATGCAGGCTTCTCTTGCAATACCTCTGGCTTTGGTACCTTTCTGCAGAAGATACTATGCTGGTAGTTGTTTTCTATATAGCCAGTAAACACCAGGCTAGAACCATAAAAGGAGAGTACATAGAGGTAGTTGAAGAAAATTGCAATACAGGAATTGCAGCAGAAAATCCTGGCTGCTTCAATGTTAGTGAAGGGACTGGCACCTATTCCAAAAGTGACCAGGTACATGGCAGTGGTGAGAGAAAACGAGAGCATGGAGTCTGCAAATACAGCTGCAGTCCTCTCTTTAACGTGTTGGTCTTCTCTAGTTTTTCTCCAGGAGGACAACATTTCAAAAGTCCCATATAACCCATGACCTACAATAGAGAACAAAGCGAGTGTTTAAAGTACTCGAATCAACATGCGGAAAAACTTAATGTGGACATGCTAAAAGACTCAAGGGAGACAGAGCTGGCTGTTACCAGTGCTTGAAGCAAATGTCCTGCAGAAGAGAGAAATTATTATGGAGGTCTAAGCCACAGGAGTGCATTTGCCACCTGACTAGCAAACCTTACTGCCAGAGCTTGAGAGGAGTTCTGCATCGCTGGCGCAGGGTTGATGGGTTAAAGAAAAAGGATTTTTCTTTTCTGGTTGGCTGTTTCGTTTCATTATTTCGGTGCGCCTGTGATGGAAGATGCTTTGAAATTAGTTTTTCCTGGTGATGGGATCTGACCTGTGGTGAAAACAAAGAAATACAAGCTTGAAGTGCCTTATGCTGGAAGCAGAGCATTAGTTGGCTGTTTTGTGGAAAATCTGTAAAAAATAAAACTTCCATATAAGCTGAAAATTGTCAGTTCAATCAGTCACTGATTTCTCCACCTCCTATACAAATTTTCCATCGGGAAAAAGAAATCCTAGAAACAGAACAAACTAAAAAAGCACAAGTAAATTTTAGAGATGCAGAATGGTAGAGCTGATATGGAACTGCTTAAGGCATTAGTCTTCTCACTTTACTATATTTAATGGTTTGTAAAACCAAATACAGCTCTACTTTTCTTGGCAGTTCCCACATTTTGTAATTAACTCTTAAAACGGATATAGCAGTCATGAAAGGAGATGAAGACCTGCAGACCTAGAATCCTGTGTTTAACCCCCAAGTGCAGATAAATCAGGAAAAGTACATGGGTTTATCTTAATCCCTGGCTGGTCATCTTCCTTTTGATAACCAAGGCATATTTGGAGGACACAGACCTCTGCTCTCGCATAGTGGACCTGAGCTGGGAACACAGCCACCAACCAGCTATCAGGTGAGAGTGGCTGAGATAAAACTAGTTTGATATTTTACACAGAGAAGAACAAAAAAGTACAGTCTTTGCATCGCACCTTAAATGTAAGACACTAATATTTTCTCATAGTAATTCACACCACGTTCATCTTTTCTTAATAGTTCCTTTCCATCTGATCCCACCTTTCTTACTGTCTTTTAATTACTCCTCCTTATTCTTTTGCTGTTTTTGCTGTCCCCTGTCTACCTCTCTAGTCTGCTCTTGCATTATCTCCAGAAATTCCCAAAAGCCAGTCTATGGTGTTTTGTTCTTACCCATTCCCTGATAACATTAGCTAAAATGATCAGTGCTAAATTAGTTGCAGATGACACTGAAGTGCAATCACTGGACTTTTGGAGCTGATGCTCCAGTCAGGCAGGTCAAGGTAATTCACAGGTCTCTGTTAGAATTTCAGGCTGTCTGCAGAGTACCGAAATTGCTGTGTTGGCTCTGTTCTCTCCGCTGTAGATGATTATCACTTTTGCCACAAGGGCTATGAATACCAGTCGAGAAACCCCCAAACTAATGAGGTATTGTGAAGAACCAGAAAACCAGAGGATATGTTAGCAGGGCTGGAACTAGATGATCTTTAAGGTCCCTTCCAACCCAAAGCATTCTGTGATTCTATGATCATGTTTATCTTTAAATGTATCATGTAGTCTAAATATTTAATTAACTTGCAAAAATAACCCTTTTGTGGTCAGTACCTTTTACTGCAGTGGAAGCTGTAGCTGATTCACTCCACCCTTCCTGCAGGGAATATCCTATCTATATTTTAACAGATTACAGAGCTGGTCAGTCTGTTAATGCTAAAAAAGGTAGGTATGGGGTATTTTATAAAGAATTCAAAACACAGAGCTCATAAGATGAGATAATAGGACAGCTGGTGTGTCTTCTTATCATGGTCATGTGGTATTTAGAATAACAAAGTCTGTTATCTTACCTACGCTGTTATTTGGAATCATGGCATGGACCACGAATGTCCAATCTGTAGCAATATTACAGTCCCAGTTTTGGTATGGCATTTGGCATTCATCTTAATTTTCCCAAGCAATGTTTTACAGCTGCTTTCAGAGGCCAGATCAAGACTGTCAATTTAATAACTAGCACCGTGCCCCCTCTTAAAGCTAATGGGGAATACTGGAAGTCCCCAGACGTAAAATCAAGCAAAAATCACAATCAGTGACTGGCACCCCGTTGCTAATTATGCTTCAAATAGTTGTGTTCTTAGTTATTAAGCTTGCTTTCAGCGTGTTCTTTGTAAAGACAGACTGACCTTTATTTAAATGTAACTGATCACTTGCCAAAGCAGGGAGTGAGAGGTTTAATCCATTTATGGCTCCCATAAGTCCTGCAGACAGGCTTGTCTGAGAATTTCACATAGCATCATATGCATCGGCTTATAGTGAGCAAAACAGAATAAAATGAGGTCATTGAATATTACAAATTACTTCCATCGTGAGCTTTAGCTGTAGCATGTTTTTGTAAAAAAACATTACAGTGTTAATAGGCTCTTGCATACAAATACTCAAATAGCCACATTAACTTGGAAAGCTTTTGACTTTGCCATGATAACAAGAATTTAGAACTAATTAAATACGATGCTGAGCATGACTTTTTAACAGGTGTAAGATTTTGTATAATGCCTGATGACTCCTGATACCACAGATTTTCTTTAAGTAGGAAGCATAAAACTACAATTTGCTCTTACACAATCTTTGAGACTACCCTAAAATGGAATCTGATTTAGACAACTGCTCAAGGAAAGGCATGAAGAGGCGTCACCACATGTGTTTCACAAAGCCAACAGAAAAACATTTAGATACTCTTCTATTTTAGGACAGGTTTCTTTTGTTGTTTGCTACACAATCTGCATGGTAGGAATTGGGATTTTCCTTCATCTGTAGTTTGTGATTCCTCTGTCCACTTGTATAATAGCTACAACATTCTCATTTACCTTTAGGAAGACAAGCCTAAATTGCCAGACTTCGCACCTTTTTTGCATCAGTGGCACTTCTAACCTGACGAGCATCCTCTAAGAAAAAGATTATGCCCAAGCCTGTGCGAAAATTAGGCATGGCAGTCCAAAGATTAGGCTTATTTAACTAGAATGGGATTTACCTAACCTAATTTACTCCTCCAAATACTGACTACAAGCACAACATGGGGTGACTACCTCCAATGTCAATCTAACACACTAATGCTCATGTAAGTGTAATCCACAGAGATTATGGCAGATAGCTCCATAGAAACATTTTGTGAGAATTTATTTCACTTTTCTGTCATTTCAGAGTTTCCATTTTTTGCATCCCTAAATGATATGCACTGATTACCTCTATTCCTCTTGCTGGTGCTTTGTCTACTCTATATACTAATGAGAAGAAGGCGTATTTTTCCTTGCAAATAAATTCTGTAACTGCTTTGACCAATTTTCACTTTTTAACAGAGATTAAGCCACAAATCTGTAATGATTTAGAGCAATTTGTTCATTATTCACAGTCAGTCAGTAAACAATAAATATGAACTCAAACAGCTAATGGGCTACTGGAGATCTTTTCCTGTTGACATTTGCTATTATGATTCACTGGTCATGCCCTACAGTCAGGACGTACAACCATGAGCTAAGAAGAAGGAGTACATGGAAAGATAGTGGGTTTTTTTTTTGGTGGGGTTTTTTTTTGTTTGTTTTTTTTTTTTTTTTTAAGGAGAAAGGGTTCTAAAAGGGCAAAGGAAAATGTCATGGAAATAGAAGAAAGGTACTGGACAAAATGGGGACCAAACACTTTTTTTTCTTGTTCTTTTTTCCCACAGCTTCGCATTGTAGGACATACTCCTACCACATGTCTTGGATGACTGAGGACAGAAATTCTGGCTTTTGTAGCCAAAGAAAATGAAGCAGATAGCCACTGTTATTTCTGGGGAGCTTAATTTTTTTTTTTTTTGGGCTGATGTGGGTTATCTTTAACTTCAGAAGCTAATAACAATACCAGCAATAAAAACAATAAATGATGCCTAGCTTAAATACAGTGCTTTTATGAGTAGCCTGACAATGCTATAAAGAGTTTCATTTGCCTCTTTCAGATTCAAGTCTTGCAATTACACATGCCAGCAAACTCAATGCCAAGCATGCATGAGAGAAAAAAAGCACTTGCAGGAAGTTGTGAAAACTAAGGCAATTATTTTATCTTCCTTAAAATTATCAAATTATTTACCTCATTTTAAACACTACTTATGTGCAGCACTTAAACTGTTCTTTTTAGTACCATTTTAAAATCTCAAGAAAGAAATGCATCCTTTCTCCTGCTGACAGGTTATTCAAGCAAGAGGCCTTTATGAATGGGCTTTGGGAGCCTAGGCTTAAAGTTGGCTCTGCTACTGCTTGGAAAATGGCAAGACTGAAGCAGAGAGGGGTGAAGGGATTTAAATCAGCCTCAGAGCCTGTGAGAGGGCAGTGAAGCGACCTCCCCGTCACTGGAGTCGCAGACCAGCTCTCTATTCTCTTGGCTTAATTGCTTCCCTGAAACAAAGGCTGCTGCCCGCTTTCATTGTTTAAAGATTAAGGGATATGTTAAATTTTACACTAAAATCATGTAAGGTTTTGGTCTTACTGTGATAAGATGAGGTTGGGCTATTCAAGTCGAGTTCTTCTGTAAGAGAATGTAAGAAGAATGACTAAGAAAAAGGTTTGGGTTCCTCTTCTTGCAGTTTTACTCATCTATGAAAGCAGAAAATAATAGTACACTGTGGGTCTCATGCTTTTGTTCTTACTGTTTCAAAGGTTGCATGTCTCTGTGTGTTTGATACTTGAATGAAATCTCTCTGAAGAAGGTACCACTTACAGGCTGTGAAGTTACAGCCTTCTCTGGGGAAGGTCGCATTTTAGGGGTAATTAATTTTATTCATCCCATTTTAAGACAGTGGCACACAAAACACTAACAATGATTGATCTCCATCTCAGTAAGCTGAATGCTGCACCAGTACGTATGTTGCCCATTACCTACCAGATTTAAGACTAATAAAGCACCAAACTGTCTTCCTAACGGGACAGACTA